ATTGTCTTGTATAGGTTAAATAAATATGGTAAGAAAACCCATCCTTGTCTTACTCCTTGATATTTGGTTCTAACTAAAATATTTGAAAAATCTGGACTTATTTACTTTGGCAGGATAGTATATAATTATAAATTGTATTATTTTAATTTAGTAGTTTTGGAACTTGGCTACCTAAAATGCCACAAAATAGAAATTGACCCTTAAGTAAATTCTCTATGTAAATATCTCCCAGCTCCTTCCAAATAAAATTTATGCTTTCTTACATTTTTAATTGGTTTGTATTAAAAACAATTCATAAGATTGAGAAATCTATGTTTATTATTATGCTTAAATAAACATTGAATGTTGTTGAATTTAGAGTTCTTTAGTTCAGTTTGAAACCAGTTTGGTTTTTAGACATTTGGTTTAATGAGTTAAAATATAAACATCTACATGACAGTTCAGATTGCATCTTGAAACCAAATGGAAGAAATGTAACATATCTACAAACTAATGGTGCAAACTCAACATTTGCTGGATCATGTGAGTTGCCAGGCTGCAGTGGTGATTGATTGATTTGTCTTTTTATGGCTTATCAACCTTTTGTGAGTTATTTAAGACTAGAACATATTTTGGAGTTTTTGCAAGTGAATATTGCATTAACAATTTTTTGAGAGTAACAATGTTTTTTCCAGATACAAATTCTACTGTTGAACCTATAGCTGTTGGAAGGAGATGGATACATACTGTGCCCAAGTGTATTTGTACATAAGTGAAAGCAAACTACAATTGTATTATTATTGACCGTTATTTATATTGTGAATATATTTTTTAAAGAATTAATGAATTTATTTTTAATCTGACATTACTTCAAACTTTATTATAGTGGACACTTCATATTTGAAACAGACGCTTCATTTCTATTTATTAAACAATGTGTATTATATCTATCAACCTGCATTCAAGAAATCTTAGTACGTTCTCCAGCAGGGATCATACATGTGACCCTCTACACACACACCTTTGTTGGGTGGTGGGGACCACCATTTGATTCTTCATGGCTGAGTGGTAATGTATACTAGATCAAATGGCAAGTTCCCATACAAAGTGTGGCACATGTATGATCCCTGGAGGACACATTTCCTTTACTAAGGTTCCTAGTAGGGGATGCTCAGGCCTATAGACATAATATACATGATTTATATAATATAAATGGGGTGTCTGATTCAAATATGAAGTGTCCACTATGTTGGAAGCAATAAAAATGTTCAGAATTTAAACTGAAAAAAATGTTTTAGCTAAAACAAAATGGAATATAAGAAAGTGGATTTTTACTTTGCACTGTTAATGTTCTTTGTACAATATAGTATTTTTTTGTCCTTGCACTCTTTAAATCATGAATGAAATACAAAACTTAAAATATATGAATGAGAATGCTTACACTACTAGTTTTCTTTTTTGCACTTGTGGAGCTAAACTCCATTTTTTAAAATTTGTTCTTTATGCCCCACTTTCTGCTTCTTTTTTTGTCTCACTTCTTTATTTGAAGTTACTTTATTTTGATATTCTTGCTTTACATTTTGCTTCTTGCTCATCTATTTGGAGATGTCAAAAAATCTTTTTCTGTTGTTATTTCATGTCATTTTACTTTTTAATCAATTCGTGTTTGTTAAAAGAAGCAAGTGTCAATTCACTCAGATTTTATCTTCAACCATTATGTTCATATATATTTACATCCTTAATAATAAATTGTGCTTGAATATTAAAAAAAAAATCAATTGATATTGCTCAATTATCCTCTGAGGATGTGAATTAAAATCCATCACTGTGTCTAGTTAAAAATTTACAAAATGAATATCAAGTGTGTAAAATAGCACAAGAGCTTGAATACATCTGCTTGACTCCACTCTGGTTTGTTGTTGTGTAAGCTTCTCTTTTTGTTTTTCCTTTTCTTTTTTTTTTTTTTTCCCCTTTTTTTTTTTCTTCAAAAAATTACAATAATTCAAAACCTTGAATATTTAAAAAGGAATTGGAACTTGTTAAAATCAGTTGGTATGTGTCTTGTAAACTGTTTCATTGTAAGTCAGGTACCTCCACTGATTTGCTAAAAATTAGCATACCATGATGAAAAAAAATGTCCAAACTTAATAAAAACAAAAAGCTTCAAGAAAGATTTTTCATTTTTAAAAATTCATTTTAAAACTTAGGCATTGTGTTTCTGTGGAGGTACCTATTGTAAGTTATTAAAAACCTGTTTCAATGAATACTTTTTTTTATTAGATGACACATTGTCAACTATTATTAATTTTTTACTTTCATCTTGATTTTGAAAAGCAGATAAAATTAATAGTAAATAAGTACCAGTTAAAAATTAATAGTTGACTGTTTCATTTAATAAAAATGTAATATGATAATTATTACTACTGCTACTACTAATAATAATACTTGCAAAACAAGAACATTAATTATAGCAACACCTATGAGTATGGAATAAGTAATATGTAATTTACGCATATTTTTTTATAAAAATAAAGATAAACTTTAGTGGGGGTGCATAAATTACATGAGTAGATCGTTTCCAGTTTAGTTTTTTTTTTTTAAATTTTTCTTGTTAAAAACGGCATACAAAGCATGAACATTTGTACCCATTTAATGTCAGAATAAGTTTATACAGAAAAAAATAAGGCCTTAAATGTAATGAAGTAGAATTTTATTTATGATGGATGTTATAATGCTTACTTTTCCTGTATAAATTTACTAAAAACATTAAATGGTTAACTACTTTTTGAAGCCTGATGTTCATGCTGGTAATCACGATCCAGGCCATATTTTACATTGCTTGGAGTTTCTACTTATTACAATGGAGCACCATTGACATACATAGTGATATGAATATTCTTATTTTTAATTAATAAAAATTTAATAAAATCTAATCATAAGTGCAATTATGTTAAATACAACTAAATTGAAAACCTTTTCCCCCTGGCCATATCGGCAATTCTGAAAATTTTGGGGTGTCAATTTTACATGAGTAGAAGCTTTTTTAATAAATTTTATACTGAAAATCACCTGCATAAATTTCACAGGTGTGCAAATTATATGGGTTTTAATGACATTTACTTTGGTCGGACTGTTGTCTTCATCTATATTGTCATATTCACAACATTTTGACTGTTGTACACTACAGCCTTCAGGTGATGGCCCAGTGGATAAAAGTGTTGGTTGAAGTAATCAAAAAAGTGACTTGACTCAAAGAGTTGTGAGTTCAATACCTGGCCACAGCAGAGGTAAACAAGAGGTGAACAAAAACTTGGATAGTTGAGTTACTAAAGGGACTTAACTGAAACTGAGATATCCAGAAAAGGCATGGCATGTGGAACTGGAACAATCTACACCCATGAACTAAATAAAGAAGGCCAGAATGGGCAATAGACAAAACATTGTGAATATGACAATAAAGATTAGGACAACAGTTTGAACAATGAAAATAATGTAAATAGTTACAATACCTCATCTCAGAAATATAGATAAAAGAAATAAGTTTATGTAGTTAAATTTGATCAGTAAATTCTATTGCTCAATCTATTGATACAGGAAGTACCTGGCTCCTTCTGCCATGCTTTATCCTTACAAGAGTCAGATTAGACCAAAAATAGAGTATTGCTGCCATATCTGATCTGGAGCTGCTCAATCCTCACTTTCCAGCCTTGATGGAGTTTAAAATCATTTACAAAATCTTATAGATAACTTATTTTCCATTATGTAATCTCATCCCCATAGACGCAACCTTGCAAGCCTATTACTACTCTCTCACTATTTTCATGGCAAATGTTCAGATGAGTTCCATTTCTTAGTTCCACCAGTTTATACCTTTCCTGCTAGGACATGCTATGCTATTTCCATGGAGTCAAATCACCCTCATTTCCTCCATATTTCAAATGTAAGGTGAAAGTTCTATTCAGACAGTTTTTTTTCTCAAGAACTGTTACTTTGTGGAACAGACCCTTGTGTGATTACTTCCCTGAACACTGTAATCTTAACCTCTTCAAGTCAAGGGTCAGTTGTTATCTAGTCTCCTTATCCTCATAATCTTCACTTCCTATCACCTCCTCTTTCATTCATATCATCACCTCATTCATCATTACGATTTTCACAGTAACCGTCTACCTTGAGTGGCTCTCAGAGCTTTCATTGGGTGAATTTTAGGATTAAAAAAATATTATTGAAGATATGTGCTGTTTACTAATGACTGTAGAATGATGGTCAAATGAGTTATAATGAAAGAAATACTAGTCAGAACTAATAATAGAGGTTACTGCTAGTTACAACTATTTGTTAGTTTACAATGACTTTATCCTGAACCCAAGCACATCCAGACAAAAAAGTAAATTTACTAATAGGTTGAAAGACAAATCATTATTAGATTGGTGGCTAGATCTCCTCATTTTTCAGTCAAAATGGCTAGATGTAACTGTAAGTTCTATGCCAACAGTTTTGACTTGCACTTATCACTTGTAGAACTCTCTTCTGGTTTCTTGCTTTCCAGTCAATTTTTATCTTCGAAACATTTAAATGCAATTTCAGTCATTATCTTCTGTCCTCTTAAATTATGCTCATTTATTGTTCTTACTCCTTAATAATGTTTTTCTTATATTCATTCACACTCAGTAAATCCCTGAATGTTAGCAGCCCTGCTGCCTTGTTTGGGGTGAAATGATTTAAAAAATAAGAAAAAAATTGCTCACCATAGCTTTATAACAGCTGCTCTTACTGTTGTAAATATTTATTGGACTAAGCCGATTTTGGTAGTAGGCTACATTCATGGCGCCCCAAGTGTCCACACTTATCCATAACAGTTTGGAAAACAAGCAAGCTAACCATTGCTTTGATTGCAGGTGTTTTGGAAGCTTTTTTGTGTGTGCAGATGGCAAGCTTCCAGGTTTGTGCATAAATGTTCATGTAGATATTTGTTGGGCAAAATGAACTTTGATATGAAGCCACATTCATGAAATATCTAGGTTTACAGCCATATCACATTGAAACACCGGTTCCCATATGATCACCAAAGTTAAGCAATGTCGAGCCTGGTCAGTGCTTAGATAGTTAAATGCTTGCGAATACCAGGTGCTGTAAGCTTGGTGGCCTAATGGATAATGGCTCTGAGTTATAATCAGAGCTGAATTCCAATTTCAGTCAAGTTTGTTTGCTTGGGAAAAGTATGAATCCACCTTTTCTCTCCTCCAGCTGTGGGTTAATTAGTAAGACTTGTATCACTAAATCATTATCTCAAAAAAAAAAAAACATTCTTATGATCTAAAAATATTTTCTGGCTTTAAATAATCTGCAAAGGGTTGATAATCCATAAAAAATGGGTCAGTCAATCAATGAAATGAAATGTCTACTTACGAATGACCTAGCTGACAATGGCTTGAGAAAGTAGGCAAATTATCACTTTCAAGAGATTCTGATAGTTATATACTGATGACTGGATTTCATTGATGCAAATTTTATTCAAGTTAAATACAAGAGAATTCACAACAATTTCAAAGAGTAATGCATTAAATCATAATACTGAACTGTTGAACCCTGATAAGTGAAAAATTGATGAGGAGTGTCCATCTTGTATATTCAAAGAGAAAACAGTCTCTCTAATCACATGTCTTTTTTCTTTTATGCTTTATCCCTTCAGCATGTACACAATTATGACTTTCCAAAGCTTCTCTTTCTTTATTGTCTGTGATTTGCCATGAATTTTCTAGAGGAGTGTAGTGGAGTGCTTTTCATTGTTCTTTTATGGTTTGGGATTTAGTTATCCTTCTCTGAGACAGATTGCTAATCAAGACTACAAAATACCAGTTTGCTCAAGTATTTAGCAGGGAGCGGGTGAAAAGATGGATTAAAGCTTTTCCCAGGGGTATTAAAATGAATGCAATAGTCTCTACTGAAATTTGAACTCATCATTCCATTTTCCACTCCAATGGCTGTTACACCACCTGCACATTCAACATGATAATTTAAAAGATTTTATTGATTATTTTTAAGCATCATCAATAACCAGAAGAACTTAGTATTATTTATATAAATCAAGGAAATTGTTTCTGAATATCTGAAATGAATAAGATGATAAGGATTTTGGTCACTAATAGTGACTGACCAATTAACACCTCTTTCATACAGCACTTTTTAACCAGACATCTTTGCAGGTGATCATGTGACCACAAGATGCTCTACTGCTGTGATCATATGACTCACTCCATTGTAGCAATTATTGAACTTTGATTCTCTCCCCTTTGTTAGCAATGCATATATTTTTAATGATTTTGGCAGGATTTCTATTGTTGCTTTATGATGAATTTATTTTTGCACTGACAGCCAATAAGAGCATTGAAAGAATCATAGGGAAAGAGTATTCCCAAATCTTGTATTTGTTTTCTTTCTCAGTCCCATCTTTGATTAACTGACACTAATAAATCTGGTTGCAGGCAGATTGAATTTTTTAAGTATCACCTTGATTCTTAATAAATGTACTGTCATATCTGATATCTCATTTATGTTTTATAAAATAAAAAATAAAAAACAACAACAATGTAACTTTACTTCCATATTTAGTGAGGTGTGTTTAAGGTGTGAGTAAATACTAAAACAAAAAATAAAATAAGTGACTAAAAAATATTACTAAAGATTTTTCCTCCGGGGGTGGGAGTGTGTAAATACCAGTTAGAACAAATTCCTTATAGAGAATGGTTTTCAAACCTAATTAATTTTTAATTGAAAAAAAAAAAATCTGTTAGACCCAGAACCAGAACCGTTTATGGATATTTTTTAACCATAAGAGCTTGTCTTACCAAATTCGCCAAAGGTGTCAAAAATGCAAGGTTTTTACAGGAAACAATGATGAACATGACAAATTGCATTAGAAATTCTTCATCTGTAATCATTAAAGGAATTAATGACCAATATATTTGACTTACCTACATGTTGACCTATGTACTTGTATTTTGACCTACCTGGGAGAACAAGCTTATGATAAGATAATATAAGTAGAAGCACTAATAGAAAGAAAATTATCAACAAGAGATGCAGTAAATGGCTTTTAAGTGTTAAAGATTTAAACTAGGTTGAAACACAATATTCTTCCGTATTTTAATGTTAATTTCTTTTTTCTTTTTATTAACTCCTTAAGTTCAAGAATGTGACCTTTTTATAATTCTGTATTGTCCACAAACAGAGTATTTTCATCATTTCTTTACATATGTCTACTGAATAACTCAAAAATTTTTGAATTGAATTAGGTAGGTAAGTTTAAAGTATGAATTATTATGAAATGATTAAATTTTGAAACTGATATCTCTCATAGTAAAAGATTGTTCAATTTTTTTTATTGTCATATCTGTTCAGGACATAGGCAAACATGACTCTCCAAATTCCTTTTCTTATTATCTGTGAATTGCCATGATTTCTTGGGAAATATAGTGGAGTGGTTTCCCGTTGTCTTTTCCATGGTTTGCAGTTCAGTGTTTTCTCTTTTTTCTTTTCATCTGGCTGCCACCCAAGACTAGAGAACCTGGGCTATTTAGCTGATAACTGTGGAGTGGGGGGGGTAATGGAGAGGTTTGTGCATTTCCCAAGAGCATTTATTCAAGAGTGAACATAATAGATTTGGTCAGAATTTGAACTTGTTTGAACTTGTCTTACGGATTCCATTTTCCACATTGATAACTGTTGCTGCGCTACTTGCACATCTTCTGCATATTTACACAATTGCTGTCATTTTACACTTAATCTGGCATAAGGTCATATTAAATGAGCATCCAGAGTAGATTGAACTTTCAAGCAATGGTTTGCAAAACTAACCGGCTAAACATCACTCTTTAACAAGCACTCAATGGAAATATTTACTGATCTAAGCTTAGTCGGGCACAAGGCCAGGATAAAGGAGCACTCAAATTCATAAGCAATAGTCTTTAGGGATGATCTACTAACAATTCCATGTCTTAGGTAGGTCTGACTACAACATTCTAGGAGCAGTTTTCATTTTGTTTGCAGACTACACAACATAATTACTGAACTAGATTAATTCAAACACATGATAAAAAAAATTCCATAGTAACAATGAGTAAACATTTATGCATATCAGTATCTCTTATCACATGGCGATATTTTAATTTGAAAGATTTTATTGAAATTTTTTATTATATTGTCTATGTAATCTTTGACCTTCTTTGAGCAGTCTGTATATCTCTCTTTATATATATGTACAATGTCCCTTTAGGGTATCAGAATTTATGGCTTTCCATAATGCCATATATGGTCTGGAGCCCCTTCTGTTTGCCTCGGGGTTCTTGATAAGCTCCAGAGGCGGATATGCAATATAATTGGCCCTGTTCTGGCATCTCGTCTACAGTTGCTCTCTCACAGATGCACCATCGCCTCTCTCTGTCTTTTTTACAAATACTTTCATGGTAATTGCTCCAAGGAGCTGCATTCGCTGGTTCCTAGACTTCATGAATTCAAGCGCCCTATGAGGCTGGCATCCCGCTCTCACCCTTTCACTGTCGAAACTCCTAAATGTAGCTGTCTCTTCTACTCCAATAGCTTCATGTCTCGCACCTCTTGCCTGTGGAACTCCCTTCCCTACTTCAGTTTCCCTGAGAGCTATAATCCCCAACTATTCAAATGTAATGTCAATCGACATCTCCAGTTGCCTTGATCTATCCACTATCCTTCTCCTCATCCTTTCCTCTATCGCTCATATCTGATCTTGCTCCAAATCTTCTGTAAATCCTTGTGTCCTAGTGGCTTCCTGCCTTGCTTGGGGTGAAATGCTTAAAAAAAAAAAAAAGTTTCCTGTTTTCATGCTCTCGGCAATATTTTCTCCTTTTTGAGCCATCATCCATTCATTTGCAAGAACTTCTTTTGTCTTCAATGTGTCTTGTGAGTCTTAAATTTTCTAAACATTCTTTCTCCATTATGTGTTTTCTTTGATTTTTATTAGCAGTTTTTGTTTTGTAGTTCTTATTCTTTAGAACATCCTCATTTCTCACATGCTCTGTACATGGTATTCTCAACATATCTTGATTGTCTTGCATATTTTTTTTTGATTTGTAATAAAATTATCCAGCTTTCACTGCCATTACATGGTAAAAACAACAATGATGGAGATAATCATCTGAAAAAAATCATTGAATAATAATAATAAATATAATAATGCTTTCTTTTAGAAATTCAGAGAAAATACGGTGCATATATAGATAAGTATACACAGAAGTCAACACCAAATGACACCAGTTTGTTTCATGCTTGAACACAATCTTCAGGCCATATATATATATATATATATATATATATATATATATATATATATATGCATGTGTTAATGGTTTTATTTTTATTTTAAAAGTTATATTTTAGATTTTAGTGGATACTCATGTATATTTTTTAAACAGTGTGAATTATGCCTACCAACCTGTGTATTCAAGAATATTAATAAAGGAAAAGGTGCTCTCTGGTAGGGTTTGAACCTGCATGCCTATAGTTTTCCCTTCAAAAAGGGATGCAGGTTCAAACATTGCCAGAGTGCACATTTTCTTTATTATGATTTTTGAATGCACAGGCTGGTAGATGTAATTCACATTGGTTTAAAAAGAAAAAAAAACAAAAAAACAGGGCATTTATTCAAACACAAGTATCCAATAAAATGTAATGTTTGAATTATTAAGCTTACACACACACACACACACACATATATATGTAATAAATGTTTAATAAACTTAAAATCAAAATACCAATCAGAGAAACATTATTGCCTCTTAGTATTTATGTAGATTCAAATCAACATATTTTTGGTATTAGGTTATTGTTAAAAGTTGGACTGAATTATTAAATTTAGACATTAGTGGAAATACTAAACTTGTTTATTGCTTTCCAGTTGTTATTGGTGTTTTGAAACAAGCAATCAATTTCTTGATATTTATGGCTCCAGGAATTTTGCTAATTTTACTATTTGGTGTGCAATCTCTTTTAAGATTAACTTTTAATAGAATTATTTATGGGTGTTTTTTAATCATCTCTGTAGTTAGGATGGAACCCAAAACTAATTGGTCTTCAATCCTCTTCCTTTATTTAAACCAAACT